TTGTGTGTACCAAAACCTAGTTTCTTTGTTTTATTATCTCCTCGGGTGTACAAGTTGTGTGTACCAAAACCTAGTTTCTTTGTTTTATTAACTTCTTGGGTGTACAAGTTGTGTGTACCAAAACCTAGTGTCTTTGTTTTATTAACTCCTCGGGTGTACAAGTTGTGTGTACCAAAACCTAGTTTATTTGTTTTATTAACTCCTTGGGTGTACAAGTTGTGTGTACCAAAACCTAGTTACTTTGTTTTATTAATTCTTCGGGTGTACAAGTTGTGTGTACCAAAACCTAGTTTATTTGTTTTATTAACTCCTCGGGTGTACAAATTGTGTGTACCAAAACCAAGTTTCTTTGTTTTGTTAACTTCTTGGGTGTATAAGTTGTGTGTACTAAAACCTAGTTACTTTGTTTTATTATATCCTCAGGTGTACAAGTTGTGTGTACCAAAACCTAGTTTCTTTGTTTTATTAACTCCTCCGGTGTACAAGTTGTGTGTACCAAAACCTAGTTTCTTTGTTTTATTATCTCCTCGGGTGTACAAGTTGTGTGTACCAAAACCTAGTTTCTTTGTTTTATTAACTCCTCGGGTGTACAAGTTGTGTGTACCAAAACCTAGTTTCTTTGTTTTATTAACTCCTCGGGTGTACAAGTTGTGTGTACCAAAACCTAGTTTCTTTGTTTTATTAACTCCTCGCGTGTACAATTTGTGTGTACCAAAACCTAGTTTCTTTGTTTTATTAACTCCTCACGTGTACAAGTTGTGTGTACCAAAACCTAGTTTCTTTGTTTTATTAACTCCTCGGGTGTACAAGTTGTGTGTACCAAAACCTAGTTTCTTTGTTTTATTAACTCCTCACGTGTACAAGTTGTGTGTACCAAACCTAGTTCTTTGTTTTCCCTGACATCCATTTGTACATAAGTATTATTGCACATGTTTCTGAAAAGGTTGAAAGTCCAGAGTGAAGATAAATATTTTTTGTTTTCAGACTTCTCCATTAACGTTTAAAAACAATAACATCTCCTTTTGACATACTGTATCATTTCATTAATAAGTAAACATGTTTTTCATTGGCTTATTGTTTACTTAGAATTAAAATTAATTCAGCATCTTTGTTTTTGGCAACCCCAAGAGGGGCCACGGCTCCCACTTTGGGAAACACTGTACTTGGTGATGAAAGTGTCGTAAGCGTAACTTTTGTTTTATGAGATTTCTTGTGTGTCTTTCTGTATATATTAAAACATATAATTGTTTGCAGAAAAGTATTAGTCCAGGTGCTGGCCACGAGAATGTTACTGAGTATCAGTCTCTAGTTTTATATCACAATAACAGTCCTCGTTGGGCAGACAATATTAAGGTATGTATAATACAACCAATAAGATCTTTGTATATTAAGAGGTGACACGATGCATTTTGAACATTTTCTGTTATTACAAATATAAGTTTTAAAACTAAAGTTAATATGTATATTAAATCTAGTTTTCCACTTAGATAAAAATTATATTATTTCTTGGTATTATATGAAAAACTAATTTTTTGCATTAGTCTGACAAATTGAGATCAGCTGTGGATTTAAAATAATTTTTTTATATCCAACAAGAGTTTGTAATACGAACAGCTATGAGTTCATTGTTATTATTTTGTATTCATTATGTTTGGTGCCATTTCATGTTTAAACCTGTGGTTGTAGGTTTTCAAGTTTTGTAGAAGATCCCTTAATTTTTTATATTAGTATGTTTAAGTAGTCTTCACTTCATGAGTTTATGGTAAGCAGACGGCATACAAAAAAAGCTTCATGATTAGAAGTCTTAATTTTATTGTGTTCATGTTAATAATTAAGTATCGTGAATGAGGATTGAAATGCAATTTTGTGACATCCTGTTGTAGTACGGAATACAGTTGTGGTCGATTAATAGAGGCCACTTTTATCATCGTTACGTAACTAAACCTTGATTCCTCCAGCTGGCATTGTGTCAACAAGTGCTTACTTGTGTTTCACACGTGCACAAATGGTAATAACATTTTGTGTTAGAACATAATAACTAAGCCAAGAAGCTGATGTAGCACCAAATAAACTACAATTATAGAGTAAGATACAAACAGTATGTTACAACGAGTTCAACATTTTAAAATACAGTATGAATACTTGATCTGTATAATCATCTGGACCTGTGCTTTTCGTTGTAGAGACCAAATCTAGATATAGATAATTGGTGTTTATTAGAAATAAGTTATCTATACATATGTCTAATGTAAATTTTTGTATATTATTTACAGAGCTTATAATTTTAGAAGTCTGAATATATGTGTTGTGTTTTGGCTCGTTATGGGCTGAAAGCTTTCTGTGCCACATATAAAATTGAAGCTTGAAGCTTACACATTGAACCAAATGTTCTTGTTATACCAAAGTGCTTATACATGCACTGTTTTTGTAGCATTAAATCCATTTAGACATGAAGCCAAGTGTTGTTGTGATAAACTAGTATAGCTTTGGTAGCATCAAATCACCATACATATTAAGTAACTGTTTTTTTTAATGATACTAAATGTTAAGTATTGCTTTGGTAGCATCAAATCACCATACATATTAAGTAACTGTTTTTTTTAATGATACTAAATGTTAAGTATTGCTTTGGTAGCATC